GAATTATTAACATTTAATTCTGATCACGACTTTATGGAAACTGTTCACAGTTTAGAATTTGTAGGGATTGCTTTCTGTTTTTATGTCTGTTTTCAAGGGATTAAATATTGTCAGAGTTCTGATGATACTGAAATGTTAAATCCACTGAATGTCAGCTTACCTGTCAAGGTTCATTAAAGGCCATTCTAGCTAGACATTTTGGGAATTGGAGTCCCAACACATCTGGAGGCCACTCATTAGAAAAATCTAAATTAGAGCAAGGATATGCAAAAACCAGAATGACACTGTATTAGCTGATTCCTTGGTAGTTGATGGTAAATCCACAATCATATTGCTAAAGAACAAGTGGCAATCTTAAGGAAATATCTGCATTAAAACCCATTGTGGTTTCATATTACATTTTAAAAAAAATGTTTCATTTCCCATATATTCAATTAATAAATGTCATGTCTTGCCTGGGACATTTCGCTATTTGTCATTAGTGACTCAGAAAGGTCAAAATACTTCACACATTACTTTATAGCTGTTAGATAATTCATTCAGCAAGACTGTTTTTGTATTTGTCTCGTGTCTTCAATGTTTCATTAAACATCCACTCTGTATAACTTCCATTACTGTCAGTGTTAGAAAACAGTACTTCAGTTGATGATCAGCATGTAGATTTGAAGAGTGAATTCAGATAAACATTCTCCAAGCTTTAATAGTTATCAAGCTGCATTCATTTTAAAACTGGTGAGCTCCTTTGCTAAACATCTGTTAGAAAAAGAAGCAGTAATACTGACTTACTCTACTGTTTGTAACGCACAGCATGATGCTAAAAATGTCTCCTCCAAATTTTCCTCAAAAATTTTCTTCCTTTACAAAGGAAAGTTTTGCATCTCATCCTCAGGGCTTCTCCATGCTTTGCAAATATTTTAAAATTTATTATAGATACCGTAGTACTTAGCGGTTATCTGTATTTTTGCATCGCAAATAAGATAGATCTTCCTTTTTGTTGTTGCAAGATGGCGGGAAGTACAGCAGCTTACTCTGCTGCCTAATCTGGGAACGTTATCCAAAAATTGGGCTTTCATAGAGGCATGAGATGCTGCACTATACAAAAAGGATTATACAATAAAGTGTAGGACGTACATGTGCAACATCAACCAACTCATTTAAGGGAAAAACCTTTCTGTCTGGCAATGAATATTCAATTAAATTTTCTTTGTGGTAAAAAAAATTCTGAAAACAATATTCCATCACACTTAACAAGAATGGTTAAAAAGGGGGGGGACCTTGTTAGAGTAAATTTTGGAGGAGGAAGAGGAAGATGGAAATTTAAGTTGTTGAGTTGTTTATCAAGTTGCATCTGATTAGAGAAGTGAATAAAGAACCTTATCAACCCTCAACAATATTTGATTTTCAGTGGTTTGTTTTCAGTGCACTGCAGAACTTATCTGTGAAAAGGAAACATACTGAAAAAGAGAAAGCTTCTTCTAAAAAATCAGAATTAATACAGTATTTCTCTGTCTGTGTGGATTACCTGTGATCCAATTAATATGGTGAAAAGGGAATAAGGGAAAAACAACCTAGTAATACCTGGACTTTTATCTACTTCATTTAATTTTCAAATTATATTGTTATTTATATGCATAATATTGATACATATTAAAATGTGGGTTTAATATAAAAAGAAATTTTACTACCAAATGTAACATCATTAATTACATTGCGGTTGTAAGAATTATTGAATATTAAGATATTAATAGATCTTAAATGAACATTAACAGGCAGTAGATATTAATTCTAAAATAATTAGATATTAATATAAGGGTTTGCATATATCACTTCCTTTTCAGGAAAAGAAATATTCTAACTCATTAAAATCATCTTCTTTATTTTTTTAATAATAATAGAAGAATGTGTGAATGTAAGACTTTAAAATATTTATTATTACAGTAAAGGCTTATTTAATATTATTGCTTCAGTACTGGAGCCTCGATAATAAAAATATACACAATTTCTTCCAGATTAAAAAAAAATCTCGCAAAATATCCTAAGGAAAAGAATGTTTTCTTTTGTTCTGTACTGTTCTGTTTTACTTTAATTTGTTTTGTTCTGTTTAACTAATCACAACTGTGCAGAAATAAGAATTTGATCTAGCTAATAAATGTTTTTAATCTTCAGCACAAAGAAATGTGAGTAGAAAAGTATGGGTGAATTAATGTAGTGCCAGCTTTCCTAGGAATGGAAAGTGGATTGTGAATATCTTCAAGAATGTGATGTATTTATTAGCTCTGAAAAACAAAAAGGGGAAAAATATTTTCCTCTGTGTTTTTAAATCACCAGTAATCGCACATAGTATGTTAATGCAGGCAACAGGGCGTTAGCTAGCCAGAATTTCTATTCTATTCTGTGCTAAATAGAAAAATTGTAGATGTAGAAGGACACTTTGATTATATCAAGTAAAACAGGAAGCCCCCTCCATTCTTTCTCTCTCCGTTTTCTTGGAAATGCTGTCAAGCATGTCTCATCACTCATACTGAATTATTCTTGATGGCATTGAGATGTGTGAGACTGTCATCCAAAGACTGGCCTCTGCTGTTGTCACATCCTTTTTCTTCCTGAATCTTGTGGAAAACATCCAGCCATGTTCCAAGCAGACTCTTCTACTAATTCATAATGGGGGGAAAAAAAAACAAGCAGGCTAGGCAAAGCAAACCCAAGAGAGGTAAGAATCAACATTTGGAAAAATGGAGTTCCCCGTCAACACGTGGTGCAGTATTAGCTGCTCACCAGTTGGCCCACCTGCTTGTTGAAATGACCTTATTTATCTCACAAATAAGATGAGATGTGCAATAAAAACTGTACAACAGCAATACAAAAAACAATAGACAATGAAAACATGAAAATCGTAATTAAAAAAGCAAGGAGAGAGAATTAGATATTACAGACAATGGAGCTACTTCACTGGCTCACCATTCCTTTGACCCTGCCTGGCTCAGCTGATACAACCAAGTTTTCAAGGACTTAACAGAACATTGATAGGGAGATCAAGCTCACGGTTACTTCAGGGCAGTTTCTTTATTGCTGCTACAGACAAAAGTCTTGCCAGGCTAAAGCACTTATCTGCCTTACTCAGTGGTTCTCAACCTTTTTAATGACGCGACCCCCAACCGGTCGTAAGAATGGGACTTTTGGCGGGCTCAGCAGGGCAGAGACAGCCTGGACAATTCCTATTGGCTTTTGAAAGCCAATAGAATTAGACTCTATTCAAGAGAGTCTATTCTATTGGCTTTCAAAAGCCAATAGAATAAAAGGGAGTAGCACAGCTAAGGAAAAGGGGGGAAAATGGCGGACTGCGTTGTTTGGCGACCTCCGTGAAATGGTCATTCGACCCCAAATGTGGTCCTGACCCACAGGTTGAGAACCACTGGCCTTACTGCTAGATATACCCTGTGAACTGCTAGGGGAAATCTATCTTCGCTTTCTTTCTGCATAGCAAAGACTTCGAAGTTTGCTCTCTGGGGAAGAGCCCCTCCCTCCTGTAACTCTGGCCTACACATCACCCCCCTGGGATGAGTTAACTTCACCTGCTTGTTGACCTGATTTCAATTACTTCAGGTAATAGCCAGAGGTTTAATCTCGTTAGCCCAAGGATAGCAGTGCCATGACCTTTCCTTGGACAATTGTTTGAATATGAAGATCTCAGCCTGTGCTCTCCAGCTGAGATCAAAAATTCCCATAGTCTTCAAACTCATAAGAACCACTTTGTACAGGAACAGTACATTCTAGGGAAGAGGTGGCAACTGAAAAAACTGCTGGAGTCTTGGATAGTTTATAGAAATACACAAAACACATAGACTGAACAAATGTGCCTGAAATAGAGTTGTAGAGACCAACAATGAAATGCCTTCACATGCCATAATCACATACCCAATTGCCAATGTGTACATTGAAAATAATTCCTCATTGTTGTCCCTTGGATTTGGTTGATATCCAAAAGATGAATTATATATCCTATTCACATCCTTCAGCCTTCGTCCAAGTGAAGGAGGCTTGATTAGGCCAGAGTTGTATTATAAGCTTCAAATCAATACAATTGTTGGTTAACTACCTTCTTGAATTCAGGAAACTAGACTTTACTAAGGTGGCATCCATCATCTTGATATAAGAACAATGCAAATTCCTTTATCCCTTTCCCAAAACTTCAACAATTTTAGTCTACCTAATTTCTCCTGACTGAAATTTCTATTCAACCAAAGAAAATCATTTGCTTGCTTGCTAATTATTTTTTATTAACACATTTTACCAGTTGCCTCTCATTTTATCATTTGAATTTTCTACACTAGTAAATCAAATGTAACAACAGATAAAAGGGCATCCTTTCCTTCATTAAGAGTTTACCAATTATGAACCATAAACACATGGGCTTCATTTGCACAATCAGACAGTGCTAGGCAAAAAATGTTAATTTGGGTCAATGTGTCATACTACAGAGACCTAGAAGTTGTTCTTAGCATCATTTGAAAAAAGATATGCTACATGATTAACACTTACAATTAAAAAAAAAACCTGACAGATGTTTGTGATATCCTCCCACAGTGCAATGTAACACTTCCAGGACATAACCTTCCTATTTCTCCTAATATGTCTTTTGAGGAGCTGGCAATTTAAAGAAATGCTGCCTTGCCCATGTATAAGTCTTCATATAAACCCTGCCTGCTGTCTCCCAGTTGGCTGCAACTCCAGCTGTACACCAACAAACGGTTTTCGTTCCTTTCTTTCCAGGCTTTTCCTCGCTCACTTCTGCTTTAACACATCCTTTGGCTGCCAGGCAAATGAAGCCATTCAAATATTTGCTTATCTTGTCATCTGTTCTCAGCAGACCTTGCCATTTCTGTCAGGCCCCACATGTCATTTCCAAGCATAACGTCATTAATACCTCCAGTGCACTAATAGACGCTTCACAGATGAACGCATTAATGAAATGTGTTATTGTTTTCTCTCACAGGACATTAACAATCTCGCTCACGTTGAGCCTGCAAAGCCGTGCGGTGGGGCTGAAAACCACTAGCTATCAAATGAACCCTCAGTTACGCCTCGGTAAGTTTAAGTTCAAGTTTATCGCTGAAGCTTCACTCATGTGAAGAGAAGATACAAGCCTCCAAGGTCTTTTAGGCCCAGCTTCAATTTCCATGAAGAGTAACAGGAAACAGCCGACCGGGGTGGTGGAGAGGGAAGCAGGGCTGCAGAAACCGACCCTGTCAAGATAAAATAAAGCAAGACCTGGATGTCACTGGAGTGATTTGTTTCTTGTTTCCCCCTTTTTGCCTAGGGGCTTAATGACTTGAGTAATGAAGGCAGGATCCATTTTCTCTTTGAGTATACAAACAAGGGTGGTCTGGTCTCCAGCCAAATGTCAGCTATTTCAAGTCGGATTAGAGATGCTCCATCAAAACAACAGCAGATGAATCTGGGCTTTTCTGATCAAAGAAAAGCATACTTGATAACAGGTGTCAATGAACCTTATACCTGCTGCGTTTGTGTATTTTATATGTATTCCTATAAATCATAGGCAGAGCCCTCCGATGGTGGTTTAAGATGGCAGTGCTTTAGCTAAAAGAGAAGATGGATGGATGGATGGATGGATGGATGGATGGATGGATGGATGGGAGGGAGGGAGGGAAGGAGGTTCTTTCAATGTTTTTATTTCTCTGGCTTGGTTTACTGTAGTGCAAAAAGTGCCAGTAATATCCATACTATAATTGTCACTCATGGGAGTGCGTCCTCAAGTCATTTCTACAACAAAGCTTGCACTGAAACTTCCTCATGCTAAAATCTACTCACAAATTTGATCTGCAAAGGATTATAGAAGTCATTCGTCACGTGAAGGATGGAGTCCGGCCCATAAATTATCCTTTAGCTAGAGGGTTGGGTCACACAGCCCTGTTTTGCCCTTTGAGGAATCAATTTCTGGTAGTCATCGAAGCTGCATTTAGTCCCCACTTGGAATGATTCTTCTTTATCTTAAGCCCTTTTCAGGCATTACAAAAAAAAAGTTAAAAGTGTTCATGTGCGCAGAAGGAATAAGTTCTGCCCTTCCCAAATTATGAGTGTGACAGCTTTTCTCCAAAAGCATTCAAATTTCTGCAGCAAGAAAGGCTTCCTCTACCTGCAAGCAACTAGAATTATGATAGAAAAGGATTTGAGCACACATAAAACTTACTGACTGACTGACTTAAAACCATTTCTACTATCTCATAAAAATGACTCTGAACAGCATGCAAGAATTAAAACCAGAATAATTAGAACAACAAGCCAGATAAAAATGTACACTGTCCCAAAAATGCAATTACAATAAATATGGCATCAATCAGCAGACCCTTTCGGCTTGAAGGCCTGGGGGAACAATCAGGGTTTCAGGGCCTTATGAAAGGTTAACGGGTGGGAGGGAGGCATTTGGATGTCTGGGTGGATACTGTTTGTTTGTTCATTTGTTTGTTTAGTTATCTATTTGAACTCTGCCCATCACCCTCACAGAGCGACTCTGTGCAGTGATACTGTTCCATAAAGCAGGTCCCTGTTGTTATTATTATATCAATCTTATAGATATGTCATCTTTTTCTGCATTTGCAAAAAACAACCCCCCCCCCCGAAAAAATAAGATTTTTATTTATTTATTTATTTGCTATTAGGCAGCCCTATACTGTATTCTCCATAATTCCTCTCCTAGCAGTAACATCACTTATGGTCTGGGGGAACTCATATATGTGGAGAAAAATAAAAAGGAATATCAAGTCAAAACTCTATACATTTTCTGATAACTTTCTACAGTCTTGTTCTCAGAAGCACAATTCACAAGTTAGATCTGTATTACAGTAAAGCAAGTTTTATAACTATAACCAAAGGGGATTTAATTGCAAGTAGTACATTATACGTTTATGAAAAGCCTAACCCCTAACTAGCTTCATTTTACCATGAGGAGAATTTAAACTGCTCCAATTTTCCCCAAAGCTATCAGTCTGAATAGCAAAAGAATACAGATTAATTGAATTGACACAATTAATATCAAGCCTAGTTTGACCCTAATTTATAGTAGGAGTACATTTTTTGCCATTTACAAGAATATGGAATAGAAGATTGATTTTCCCTTTATGAAGAGGAACTGCATGTAAGATCTGTGACAGTAACTGGATGGGTTTTCTGATCTTGCATAACCTGCTTCTTCACAGATCTTGCCAATCAGCTGCAGATCACAGCTTGCCTGATTCTGGTAATCAACTCTGCTTCCAAGAATCTGCCCCTTAACTTTCATCACTATTAGCTAATTGATACACTTCATAAACCTGTAGCTACTTTTTGCTATTACATGTCTTGCTCAAGTTCTTAACATTGCAGTCAAGCGTTCGTCATCAGCCATTTCGGTACTAATGCATATGCCACCATGGAACTGAGTTAATCGGCTGACTAACATTTGCAAAAAGTCATTTGGTGTATTAGATTTTGGTGTCCATCTTCCAGACAAGGTTCATTTCCCCCTAAGTTTTATTTAAGAAAATTAGGTGCGTCATTTCAATCCTCCTGAAGATTTCAGCTCGGCTCTTATTTTAGATTCTTCATTCCTATAGCAGCAGGAATTGCTGGCTTGGCTCTGAAAAAGGGATGAGCAACTTGCTCCCCTCTAGGCTACCTGCCCCACCTAGCCTGTTTCAGATCTTTGTAATTAAAAATTAAGAAAAGCTCATGTGTGACAAAACAAAATGCCCGTCTCTACCATCAACTTTAGTTACCTTTTGAGGCCCATTTAAGTTCCAGAGGCCTTCATGAATTTTTTTTTTTTAAATGTGGATGCTAACAGCGCAAGGATCTGTTTGCAAATAAGATGATCCAACAGAAAAGAGACAAAGATGAGCAATGCTGATAAGCTGCATCCTCATGTTTTAAAGAGATGGCAGGGAGCAATATGACCAGCTTATCATCTAGTAAATCAGGAGTGTCCAACCTTGGCAACTTTAAGACTTGTGAATTTCAGCTCCCAGAGTTCTCCAGCCAGCATGAGAATTCTGGGAGTTAAAGTCCACATGTCTTAAAGTTGCAAAACACCCATGTGGTACGTTGATGTTTTACAACAGGAAATTGAAAAAACATTCCAAAAGAAGGGAACACCAAGTTACCACTAAAGTGTTGCCAAGAAAACAACACGGATGTACTTATATCTTGAACAGGATCGCAGCTCAAATAAAGGGAGATCTTTTTTGCTTCTTATGCTGCCTGGCATCATATGTTCTCCAAAATCCAAAGATGGCTTGTATTGCCTGTTGAACATTCTAGAGCAGTGGTTCTCAACCTGTGGGTCGGGACCCCATTTGGGGCCGAATGACCATTTCACGGGGGTCGCCAAACAACGCAGTCCGCCATTTTTTTCCCCTTTTCCTTAGCTGTGCTACTCCCTTTTATTCTTTTGGCTTTTGAAAGCCAATAGAATAGACTCTCTTGAATAGAGTCTAATTCTATTGGCTTTCAAAAGCCAGTAGGAATTGTCCAGGCTGTCTCTGCCCTGCTGAGGCCGCCAAAAGTCCCATTCTGAAAACGGTGCTGCACCAGTTGAGTAGTCCTCGACTTACGACCGGTTGAGTAGTCCTCGACTTACGACCGGTTGGGGGTCGCGGCATTAAAAAGGTTGAGAACCACTGTTCTAGAGGCAATAGAGTAGAAACATTTAGCTAGACTGATTCCTCTGCTAGCTTTCTTGAGCTCAGCTGTTTCCAGTCTCCTAAACTGGATTCCAGGAGTGGCAACATTTGCTTGCAACTGAGTGAATCTTGTTGACTATTTCACTTCAAGCATTTGTCTATTGAATGGTAATTATGCCATCTTAACCATAGAACTCTTAGTGGTATATAAAGCATCCATACTAAATACAGAACATAAATGGAATAATAAAATAAACCTGGAGAAGGAAAACAAATTACATTCCAGGATCATTGTTTAACTAGCTTAAAAAGACCTTCAAGAAAGTTTAGCTTTGACTTGTTTCCAGAACGTGAACAGGGTTGGAGCAAGTCTGCCGGGGAAGCTCGTCCCATAGAGTGGAAGCCGTGACAGAAAAACACACCCATGTTTGCACAGTCATAAGTCATTTTTCCCCTGATGTTGATTCTACTTGAAATCAGCAAATCTGGAGACACCTTGATTGTCTTTATTGGTTACAACTGGCTTTTTAAGCTGCACCCAGAAATCTATCAGGAAGCAGTGCAGATCCCACAGGACAGGTGTCCCATAGAGGGTCTCATTCTAATTATCATGGGAGTGAAAATAGAGAGGGAAGAATCCCAATAAATACTTACTGATACTTGGGGTTCCACCAGTGCTTGTCCTTCTCTTTCACTGAAAAAGCACATGAACATTTTGTCCCAATGGCAATTTCTGTGTAATCCTCAAAGACAACTCCATGTAAAGCACATTGCAGTAATCCAACTGTGTAATGATAGCAGGGATTACTGTTGCATGATTCTATTGTCTCAGGAAGGCCCCGAATTGGTGCATCAGCTGAAACTGGCCAAAGATCCTCTTGGCCAGGGCCACCACCTAACCATTTACTCCGAGTAATGGATCTGCTTCCTTAAGGAGAGGGTCACTCCTCAAGCAGCAACTCTGTGTTGCTTAGATTCAGCCTTAACAATTGATTTCCATCCAGACCTTAATTTATTCCACATCTATTGGGCATTTTCTTTGCCCCTGGTTTTCAGTTCATTCATACTTAGGAATTAAAAAGCTCCTATTTTCCACCATTACATTACATTACTGATTTTAAATTAAAAATAACTACCAGATAGTATTTAGGAACAATACTGAGGCATTGGGTCCCACACACCTTTTTTTATTAGCATTGCATATCAAAATTGCAGCCCTCATTTATTCGGGATTTTTTTCCCCATGTTCAAAGTTAGAAATTATTCTGTTTCTACCATCTTCTTCAGTCTTTTAATGACAGCACTGAGCTTGTTTGCAACAGTTTGCCCAAAGCTTTTCCATACACAGTATCTTAGCCAGAACAAGATCTAGCCAGCATTTTCACTAGAACCATGCCCAACTTTGCCTCATTTATTCAGGAAACAATTTTTGCTGGAGAACGTTTAGGGATTGTTACCCACAAACACTACAATGATATTTATATTGTTCAAAATATACCAAGTTTCTTCTGATTATGACAACTGAGCCTCTATCTTCAAGGATTTATTTACTAATTAACCACCCAGAG